AATTGCTAAATAGAAATCGTTGTTGGACATCTTATCACAAAAAATTAACAAAATCAAAATGAAACAACATACACTCCTACTTAAATGACAAAGTAAGTTTTCCATGATTTCAAATGAACTTCATTGCTCATGCAGGCTGTAATAAGCCTTTTGTTGTAAATGTTCATTCTTTTGAGTTCCTGTTTCTGTAACAGCATGTATTTAACTACATAAACCTCCCGTATGTTTTCTTGTTTAACACCACACACCAGTAGTTTGGACCAAACAATCCACTGATTGACATTATTAACCTCCTTCTAAGAAAGTTGCATCGATCAAGTCAGCAAGCATGAATAACCAATTCCGTTATCTATACAACAAACATCCGTTCCTAAAGATCATTTCTATCAGGGTAGCTTAAACCTACCCTAGAAAGCAGATTTATTTTGTGGAGATAACAATCTCTGTTGGAAGCGGCAATATGAACAACCTTAAAATGATTCATTACATTCAAGACCTTTTTCAATTTAACATGAAATCTATAACATTCAAAAGTGTAGTTTACATAATCTAAAACACATGTCAAAAAAACAGTTGGAAAAATTCATTGTTAGTTATAATATAAGAGAACAAGAAAACAATATTCAAACTGTTCCTGTTTCCTGTTAAAGTCTTTATTATCATTTTTATTTTTCATTAATGTCAAAAATAAATAATATAGGGAAAATGAAAATGGAAACAGGATACAAAGCCTAAGGTTAACTGAAGCAAAATGAAACAATTAGATGGTCCATAACTTCTTTCAAGTCTAATATGACTGCTCAAACAATCAGTCAGTCAGAGTGAGTGAGTGAGTTTAGTTTTATACCGCTTTCAGCAACATTCCAGCAACATCACGGCGGGGGACACCAGAAATGGGCTTCACACATTGTACCCATGTGGGGAATCGAACCTGGCTCTTCAGCATGATGAGCGAACGCTTTAACCACTAGGCTACCCCACTGCCCCGTGTCAGTGAGAGAAAGCATCAGAGCATTTAAAGGTGTGTGGTGGAGACAAAGACAATATACAGACACTGGTTCAACTATCAATTACAAAGTTACTGCTTTGTAGTTTGACATTTTTATTGAATATCAATTAAAAACTGGATCTCATATTGTGATTCTGGCATTTGGTTTGGGTTGGAAGATCTGTAAACTGGACAATATAGGCACCTTCGGCACCGTCTCCAAGACTTTATTGGAAAAAAGTATGTTGACCAACTCAAGGGTAAGAAAATATGCTCACATCTGAGGGTGAGAAAGTTTAGTTTTATGCCGCTTTCAGCAATATTCCAGCAATATCACGACGGGGGACACAAGAAATGGGCTTCACACATTGTACCTATGTGAGGATTCGAACCCGGGTCTTTAGCGTGACGAGCAAACGCTTTAACCACTAGGCTACCCCACATCTGAGAGAGTGAGTATAGTTTTACATCATTTTTAGCAATACTCGAGTAATATCACCCCATGGACACCAGAAAAAAAAAAAGGTCTTTCCCCATTGAACTCATGTAGTAAATCTACCTGGGCCTTGGGCCTGCTGTGTAAATACTTAAACCATCAGGAGACCCATCCAACCCCATTACATAATGAACCTATTGTTACATACTGCTAGGTCTTCGATTCTGTAAATCAAACAATCACCTCATCCAGTGAGATGAACGACTATAATAATACACTCCATCCATCTAGCTTCAATAAATATCTGGGGTAAATATCTAACAATTGTTTCACCAATGATATGTAGGGCAAAATTGCAAGGACTAGCATAAGCAACATGGAATCATCACAAGCAATTATCAAAATCTGAGAATTGACATAATCAATGAGAATTCCTTCAAGGTGTCTATGTACAACTATTTACATAATGCATAAATAGAGAAAAAAATAAAACATCTTTATTTACAATGCTACAGGGTGACATTACAGTGAAATGCCATTACCACAATACAGCATTTCTGTATGATCCCTAGGGTGTTGAAAAGTTTCGGAAAGTACGACAGTGTCCTATGACCGAGAACATTAATGTACGCGTGGCGCCCGTGGAGCAGGCAATGTGCCTGGATATGCCAGCTATATATGGACTATTACTATTTATTTAACATCATCATTTACCCCAAACATGTTTCTGATAAAACAGTATTGACTATGAGACTCGACTGACGACGATTGCCATCCCTCGTAACAATAACACAAGAGCTGAATACTGGCAAAGTGTTTTTCCCTGCAATATACCAGGGTCTAAAGAGTCATTATGACAACCATTTTCATGGAGAAAAGTCTTTATTATCATTTTTTATTTTCATTAATGTCAAAAATAAATAATATAGGGAAAATGAAAATGGAAACAGGATACAAAGCCTAAGGTTAACTGAAGCAAAATGAAACAATTAGATGGTCCATAACTTCTTTCAAGTCTAATATGACTGCTCAAACAATCAGTCAGTCAGAGTGAGTGAGTGAGTTTAGTTTTATACCGCTTTCAGCAACATTCCAGCAACATCACGGCAAGGGGACACCAGAAATGGGCTTCACACATTGTACCCATGTGGGGAATCGAACCTGGCTCTTCAGCATGATGAGCGAACGCTTTAACCACTAGGCTACCCCACTGCCCCGTGTCAGTGAGAGAAAGCATCAGAGCATTTAAAGGTGTGTGGTGGAGACAAAGACAATATACAGACACTGGTTCAACTATCAATTACAAAGTTACTGCTTTGTAGTTTGACATTTTTATTGAATATCAATTAAAAACTGGATCTCATATTGTGATTCTGGCATTTGGTTTGGGTTGGAAGATCTGTAAACTGGACAATATAGGCACCGACGGCACCGTCTCCAAGACTTTATTGGAAAAAAGTATGTTGACCAACTCAAGGGTAAGAAAATATGCTCACATCTGAGGGTGAGAAAGTTTAGTTTTATGCCGCTTTCAGCAATATTCCAGCAATATCACGACGGGGACACAAGAAATGGGCTTCACACATTGTACCTATGTGAGGATCGAACCCGGTCTTTAAGCGTGAAGAGCAAACGCTTTAACCACTAGGCTACCCCACATCTGAGAGAGTGAGTATAGTTTTACATCATTTTTAGCAATACTCGAGTAATATCACCCCATGGACACCAGAAAAAAAAAGGTCTTTCCCCATTGAACTCATGTAGTAAATCTACCTGGGCCTTGGGCCTGCTGTGTAAATACTTAAACCATCAGGAGACCCATCCAACCCCATTACATAATGAACCTATTGTTACATACTGCTAGGTCTTCGATTCTGTAAATCAAACAATCACCTCATCCAGTGAGATGAACGACTATAATAATACACTCCATCCATCTAGCTTCAATAAATATCTGGGGTAAATATCTAACAATTGTTTCACCAATGATATGTAGGGCAAAATTGCAAGGACTAGCATAAGCAACATGGAATCATCACAAGCAATTATCAAAATCTGAGAATTGACATAATCATGAGAATTCCTTCAAGGTGTCTATGTACAACTATTTACATACGTACAAATAGAGAAAAATAAAACATCTTTATTTACAATGCTACAGGGTGACATTTGAACACGGTAGCCTTCTCGGAAAGCTTGATATGAACTTTGTTTCCTTACAATGATATGGACAATGCCTGTTCACTGAATGATCAGTAAAGGGTACATGAACCTTTATACAGTGAAATGCCATTACCACAATACAGCATTTCTGTATGATCCCTAGGGTGTTGAAAAAGTTTCGGAAAGTACGACAGTGTCCTATGACCGAGAACATTAATGTACGTAGCGCCGTGAGCAGGCAATGTGCCTGGATATGACGCTATATAAGCGGACTATTACTATTTATTTAACATCATCATTTACCCCGAACATGTTTCTGATAAAAACAGTATTGACTATGAGACTCGACTGGACGATTGCCATCCTCGTAACAATAACACAGAGCTGAATACTGGCAAAGTGTTTTTTCCCTGCAATATACCAGGGTCTAAAGGGGTCGTATGACAACCATTTTCATGGAGATCCTGTTTCCTCTATAAGGAACTGTCCACATTTTTGTCCACATTTCTGTGCTGATTATATTTTAATATGATACAAATCATAACAAAACTTGTAATATTATTTTTACCCAATATTCCAGAAAACAGAATGCATATTGAATTATGTATTATTTGAAAAGCGTATTGCAGAAATACTCTGCTGGCTCACAAAGTAGTGACATTTTCTTATACATCTAACACATGGTGTTTCAACAAAAATTTCATGACAACTTGAACTGAAAAGCTGATCATCCAAATCATCTTGTCACCAGTTACATATCTACAGAGTTAAAAACTTTTGAATTACTCATCATTCCAGATAATTTCACTCTGATGATAGTGTTGTGTTTCAAGGCATTTCACTGTATAATGAAAAGGAATGGATAATTGTATCAACATTTCAAAAGAATATTTAAACACGTTATTGTTTGAAAAGTGATTTGACAGTGGGCAACTTGAAATCCTGACACAAAGGAATGTAAGAATGGGAACATGCTGATGAAAATTTTAAAAACTTGAAAAAACAAATCTGTGCTGGAACTATTCTCAAAACATGCTTATCTGTAGAGCTACATCCCAAAACATTTACTTAAGAATGAAAACATTCATTTAATCCAGGAAAACACTGAACACTAGAGGTGTATCCCCATACTGTATTTTACTTCGTAGCTTCATATTCTCTCCCATTTAAAAGGTAAATCACAACTCTGAATGATTTGTTTCTAAATCTTCAAAATGAAATTAGGCCTAAAAAAATGTTGTGGTTCCGATTACCCAACCGACCCTTGAGTTCTGGTGCTGACCCTATTTTTTTTTAAGCGCTATGAATAAAATAAGCTTTCAGATACCATTGGCCATTCTGATAGAGAAGGTCAACATGATGGCCGCAAGTCTGACTGAATAAACAATTACACATTGATAAATGTGTTATTAGTTTGTACTTTACTTTTTAAAAAATGTAAAAAAAAATCCTACCTACCTACACTAAATTGTAAAGAGGTGTAATCGGAACCACAACATTTCTTTTATATGGCCTTGCAGAGGAGAAACAAAAAAGCTGGGAGACACTATGCAGATTGTGCTATAGACAACCAGGAAGTGCTTGAGAATCTTCATAAACTGGTCCTATATTTTCTATAATATACTGACTCATATGTGTTGTTATACAGTTGTAAATCAATATATGTTGATACATTCCTTAGTTGTAGAATCATTACACCACAACTGGAGACATTACAAAATCTCACAATGTTCCATACTAACATCAAAAAGCTTCGATCTCATCACATAACAATTCACAGAGACTTCAGCGAACACAAATCTTCCAGTATATACAATGCACATCTAAACAAAGTAGACACATGCCTTGCTGTTTGTAAATCTAATGGAACAAATCTCCAATATAGAGGTATATCACATCTCTTAAATTGAACTGAACCGTTGACCATAAAGAACAGGTTGTTGATTTTCATTTCTCCTCTACATGTGCCTCCTGGGCACATCATCATGTAATTAACAGAACTGCTTCAAGTTTCAACATATTCAGTAAAATGTCTGAACTGAAATTGCTAACAAATGTTATGTTCTAAATAAACCAGACTGGAGATTGAATTAGTTTGATGGTACCGTTTTATAATTTACACCCTGGATGTGGGGTGAGTGAGGGTCCTGTTTGTCCATTCAACTACCAGGGGTCACTAACCATATGACCTTGTTCAATTTAGTCAAGTCTGTAAAGTGAGTGAGTGAGTTTAGTTTTACACCACTTTTGCCAATATTTCAGCAATATATCATGGCAGAAAGTCTGAAAATGTTGTCAAGATCATATTGTTTAAGATAAGTTAAAAGACTTATTATCAGCAATTGATGGTCTTGGAACCTAACAAGTCTGAGACTGACAAAATATTTTTCAGCCAACTTGAACAATGATTCAGAAAAGTCACTGGATTTACAGAAACTTGGCTGGACATTTACAAAGCACAAAACTGCAGATGTTCACATCTGTTCTTTCTAGCATTTATATCCAAAACTACCACATTTATCGAAGAAAATGTATGTGCCGTGTGGAGAAGTGCAAACACTTTCAACACGCAAGAACACATCTATTTGTTAGGTGCGTACACTCTCTAAAACATAATAATCATCATACGAGGCTGGACAAAAGTATCCTTCATTACCTCATACATACAGCGGTCATTGTTTCCCAGTGTGCCCTGACAGACTCTAACATCAGTGAATGGAACCAGGAGAAACATTATTTACTGTTTATCACAAATCTTAACAAGCATACAACTCATTACAGAGGCAGTGTCACAGTAAGCATTCAATCTGATATTATTTACACAGATTCAGCACTTCTACATCTCATGATATACTTGTTTTGTGATGTGTCTTGTGACCTTGGATATATCGCCAATCATTCACTAAATGAGAAGTTGAATATATCAATATTGACAATTCAATTAACAAGGTGAAAAAGGAAAATATGTTTCTGGTCTTTTGGTTTCACAAACAATGACAGGAAAATGCACAGTTTATTTGTTGACAAGCTCACATGTATGATTTACCAGACATACCTAAACGGCATGATTTTAGAACTCTGGAGTAAAACATCTAGTTTTCTCCCTATTGTAATGCACTTTTCACAGTAACTCATGAAAACGAAGTGACATCTGAATGGCATTTGAAAAACCAAACAGAAAATTATAATCGTCCCATCTTAACACTTCAACATACTCGCAAAGTGCATGGACAGACACGACACTTATCTTCCATCACATACAGAATGTAATTTAATGTGTTTTCATTGTCGAGAGAGCAGATTAGAGTTACCTGCCCTTGGGTAAAAAAGTGCAAATATACAATACCCGAAGCAGAGGGGTGAAAATGACTCAGACAAGGACCAGAAACATAATACACTTTTTCATCTAATACATACAAGCAAAAAAAAAATCATAAGTTATATGAAACTATTTGTTCTTAAGGCTACGAAGCATTTATTGAATCATTACAAGAGAGAAACGGTAAATTTTACCACCAGGCACATTCTGCATGATGTTTTTCAAGGCGATACCGAAAAGACCATCAAAAATTCGGTGGGTGTTGTTGCTCTTATTCTTATAAAGAAATCAATTTTTAAAAATAGCTAAATTCTGGATTGAAAAATTACATTTGTATTTAGTTGCCAATTTTCTTTCTTCACCGAGAAGTATTCCTATTACCAGATGATTCAAGAACTAAATACATCTTGTTAAGGCATAACTAACAAATTCAGTGTTCTTTGGCAGCTAATTCTAACTATCACAGTCACACCTTCACTATGACAACGAACTCCTGTAACCATGGCAACTATATTATAATCTAGTCATACCAATCAATACTTCTGATGTGCTCTAGTAACAGGAATAATGAGCAATTTTGTCAAATAATTTTGTTAATAAAAATATGGTGATATTTCTTCTAAATATATGTCTGAACAACCAGTTGATGATCACCAATTATAATCCTTGTTTATAAAAATAGATCCTTTTCTGTATTCTTCATGTGTGCTTTCAGGCGAATATTTTCTCCAGATCTTCCTCTGCAAAATAATTAAATGACTATTATGAAGAAGTAAATATGGTAACCATCTAAAATAGTGTTTGTTTGTTGGTAAATGCCACAAATCAACAGGATTCCAGCTAGTGGAAAATGGACCAGAAAATCCGGTGATTGATGTCATGACCAACAGTATATGGTAACATAATCAACCAAGACACCTAGTCTGACCTACCAATCCATATTTTGCCTCGTTCAACCTGCATAGGTTGCTGCACTGACTGACTGACTGAGTTTGGTTTCACGCCGCTTTAAGCAATATTCCAACAACATCACGGCTGGAATATCTCGGTCACAAATGCTTTGACTGCTAGGCTACCCCGGCACCCCCATATATAGGTTGTTGGAAACATATTCAGATCTGCAACCGCAAGTGGAGTGTACTATAGGTAGCTGGGTTTAACACTGCTTTGGTTTGGTTTGGTTGGTTGGTTGGTTGGTTTATCGCCGCACTCAGCAATATTCCAGTTATATGGAGGCAGTCTGTAAATAATTGAGCCAGGACCAGACAAATCCAGGGATCAACATAATGAGCATCGATCTACGCAATTGGGATATGATGACATGTGTCAACCAAGTCAGCGAGCCTGATCACCCGATCACGTTAATCGCCTCTTACAACAAGCTTGGGTTGCTGAAGATCAATTCTAACCCGGATCTTCACAGTATTTGAACAGTATTCCAGATCCTGCATTTAAGCTGGTATAAAAACTCAACCGATGCACATCTCAGACGTTTACCACTTTGCTGACACCTATGAGCATTGGTTAATGCTGATAAACCTAGAAACTTAAATAAGGTGAACTGCAGATCAAACCCACAATGAGAGGTTGCAAGTGTACCGAAGGGAGACAACTCTGCAAAACAAATTGCTGTGCTTCAGACAACTGTGCCACCCATGCAATGTACAAAAGTGATTGCCTTGGGGATAACTGCTTTTTATTAGTGAGTGAGTTTAGGTTTATGCACTCAGCATTATTCCAGGTACATGGTGGCGGTCTGTAAATAATCCAGTCTGGACCAGACAATCCAATGATCAACAGTATGAGCACTGACCTACACAATTGAGATACGATGACATGTGTCAGCCAAGTCAGCGAGCCTGACCACCCGATCCCGTTATTCGCCTTTTACGACAAGCATGGGTAACTGAAGATCAATTCTAACCTGGATCTTCGCAGGTCCAGTTTTCCCTTGGGGATTACTGCTCTTTATTATAGTATTTAAGCAATACCATAGCTTGTCAGGTTCATATGAGATAAAATATTGTAACCACAGTGATATCATTTCATGGTAGGGGACAGGAAGAGACAATGCTTTCATGTTTTGATAATTCAGCAATTAAAATTTGTTTGTTGTTTAATGCCACACAAAGGTTTATTCTATAGGCCTGCAAAACATTGAGCCTGGATCAGAGTGAGCATGGTTTAACAACGCTTTTAGCAATATTCCAATAATATCCCAGCTGGGGGACACCAGAAATGGGCTTAACACATTGTACCCATGGGTCAATCAAACCTGGGTCTACGCTGTGACGAGTGAAAGCTTACACACATGGCAACCCCACCGCCCTATTAATGATTGATATAATGAACAACAGCTGTCTGGGTAAGACGACACACCATCAAGTCATCAAGGCTTACAACTCAATATATTAACAGCTTTAAACTTTCAAATATACTGAACAACATTAGAAAGCACACACTAAAATGCACTGACAATGCTCAGATATCATGGGTGCATTTCAGTCTGACGGGGATATTTCGTCTTATATGGGTGTGCGTTTCTAATGTTGTTCAGTATATTAAAAGGATTGGTTGCTGGGGAACTATTCTAACCATGAATCCTCATGGTGACAATTGGAATATTTACCTGTTGTGTCAGTATGATCAGTTTGAGATTTGAAACCGAGTGCTGCTGCAAACTCCTTTATGGTGTATTTGCCGTCACTGTCTGCGTCGAAAGGTTTTAGTTGTTCTTTATTTGGAGCCGCTGGTCCTAAGAAGTCAGGCAGGATGCCTGGATCTACCCTGCCATCACCTTGTCTGTCCCAGCGATTGAAAAACATTTGGAGATCTGAAAGGGAGCAAGTTGCTTGCAGGATATTTCAAACTAACACAGCTGATAGCCCTTAAAATTACTGCTGCAGCTTATAAGTTGAACATTTAATGTGTACCAACCGACATGAAAGACAAAACAAAATGGGTTTGTTTTTTTGCTGTTTAATGATGTAGGAGTCTGAACCAGATAATCAACAGCATGAGCCAAAACAATTGTGAAACAAAGGATAAGGAAAATTTTAAAGACTCTTTAAAACACACTAAAATCCTCTCTAGTCTAAATGTAAAAGAAACCATGTTTGTCAAACAATAGACTCATTACATCATATGCAAATTTCCTTGAAACACTGGTTTAATACTAAGTAATCGCTGCGCCTAGGAAAAACCAGGGCTTCGATCCGCAAAGCGAACGTAGTGTTAAGTTGATCGCAACTCCCATACTTTAGCATAGACTTTTGTCTTTGTGCTATGACCATTTTGAGGAACCATGACCCTTCTGTCTAACACTGACATTAATGAACAAACCAAAGACGCAACAAACAACTTATTACCTGCCATGGTGTTGATTCCCTTGATTACAACTGCAGGTGTTGGCTTTACAGTTGTAGTCGCAGGTGCTTCCCTAGAAGTGTTCCCAAGTGTTTTTCCAGGTGTAGACAGGTTTCCTATAAAGAATGACAAATGTTAATTGAACTCCAGTCCTTGACAGTATACAGTTATTGATGGTAACAACATAAGTACTGGCACTGTGTGAAAGCATCACAACCGTGTACATAGGTATATAGTACTGAACTACTGAACCAAAACTTGGGGCCATTTGGGCATAAGTACAGTCCAGTGTTTTTTGTTGGGCAAGCACACCTTACTTAGTACCTGATGTTTATTTAAAAATAATGAAAAACCCGACCCATCAACTGCTGTACAGCATAAGCACAACTCTCATCTCACAGGTAAAACGACATCTTTTTGTCATGGCTGATCCAAATATATTGTCAAATTCTTTCAAATCGGATTTTTTTCCACAAGCCAAATGGATTGGATCAGTGGAGTGATCGATAGTCTCTGTGAACTAGCTGACTGACGTAGAGGATCGATGAAAGAGTACACTCAAGTAATGATACAGGAATGGTGATAAACAGTCAACCCAGAGAGTGCTCGAGTCTTCATCATGCCTTAATACTTGAAGATTGTTGCACGTCATTGGTTCCCAATTGCGCAGATCAAAGCTCATGCTCTTGATCACTGGATTGTACGGTCCAGACTCAATTATTCACAGACCGTCGCCATATAGCTGGAATATTGCCGAGTGTGGCGTAAAACTACACTCACTCACTCAAAATTGTTACTTTCTGATCATTCAGTTAAGAAACGAGAACAAAAACTACAGTCAAAAATATAAATACCCAGTAAATGAAAAAAGAAAGAACACTAGATGACATATATATGAAACTATTTACAATTTACTTACTTATTTTCTTTATAAACTCTTTTGTACTTTAACATGCTTAAAGTCTAGCAGCCTAGTAGTTAAAGTGTTCACTCGTCACAATGAAGGCTTCGATTCCCCACATGGGTACAATGTGTGAAGCCCATTTCTGGTATCCCCCGCCGTGATATTGCTGGAATATTGGTAAAAGTGGCGTAAAACTAAATGGGCTTCACATATTGTACCCATGTGGAAACTCGAACTGGGGTCTTTGGAGTGATGAGCGAACGCTTTAACTACTAGGCTCCCCCACTGCCCCGTCCCAAAGTTGAAGTAATATGTACAATTACAAATTACAAACAATAGCCAGGATCAAACTGTAGACTACTACAAGTATTCAAAGTACATACATCGCTACATGCAGGGAAAAACACATGACAGATACAGACTGACATACTATTTCACGTTTCTAAGGTTTAAAGCAGTGTTCACTGAAAATCACAGGAATGGTGTTTCAGATTTTACATTTCTTACAATTGGCAATGAAATTATCAACAAAAGATTTATAAACAGCAAACAAGCGTCACATGTCACATATAACACCTTCAGTCAAAGTCATTGTGAAATATAGAGTCAGACACTGGGGTCGGCGGGTTGTAGACTTCTATTGGACTGCTGGCGAATCTGCCGGATTTGTCAGAGGGTCAGACGCTATTACGTGAACACTGTTAAAGGGCAGTGTTACATTGCTACAGTACAAGTAACCCAGCTAAACGCATGATATCTATGTCCTAGCTTATGTCCATAAGCCGATACCTTCAACAGAGACAGGAGATGAAACTGGGGTTTGAGGTGTCGTTTCCATGGTTGCATGTGAACTTTGACCCAGAGCTACAGGAAGTAAAGAAAGACAAATCATATTCTAGAAGTAGGACATGCAACAAAAGGAAGAAATAATATCAGATGGGACACATACACAAAGGCAGAATAGGTTGAAACATCAACAGAAAGTTCTCATGCAAAACATGATGAACCAAATGTGTTCACTTAAAAACAAAAGACAACATAGTATAGAGATAGAAGCTGAAATATAACATGCAAATAAGGCCTTGTATGAGGAATATAAGAGGAATAGGATTTCAGAACCAGTGCTTTTTCCAGGGCTCCAGATAACTTTTGGGGGGGGTGAGTGTACTTACACATCATATTGCAAGTGGAGGTGTACTGAGAATTTTGAAGGAGTACTGACATATTTTTGTGTGAGCGAGTTGGTGATGTGGTTTGTCTGGACGATTCATCGATCACTATTTCCAACCATGTATTTGTATTTGAAGTCGCGTGAGAAATATATCTGAGCGACCGTGTGATGCGCGAAATGTCAGGTCCGACTGGACATAAATAGGAACAGTGTAGTTTTAGCCAATCGAAAAATAGTGACGCATATCGTTGCATGGCAACGCAAGTGATTCCTACTGTCAGGGTTTCCTCATGTGTCAAATCGTGTTTCGCAAAAGAAACTTGAAAAGTATTTATCCGAAATATATTTCCATTTGCACGATACGCACGGAAATCAAATGTTAGACGTACAAAGGTATTTATGTGCGTACACGATACGCTTGAAATCTTATATTATGTCGTACTTAATTGATTTTGAGGCGTACATTACGCCTGTACGCCCCTTATCTGTAGCCCTGTTTTTCCATAGCAAATCCTATCACAGTGTATGTCAATAGGACTTGTTGTGGAGAAGATTCAAAGGGAGACAACCCTCCACACATCCTACCTGATGGGAAGTGTGCATTAAGAAATCGGAGGATTCCTGCTATATGAGCTGTCACATTATTCAGCTCGTTCCTGTACTTTGTATTTGTAGTGAAGAGGTGATTGATATCCTCAGTGAGTCTCAGCACAGTGGAGTTTAAATACTGGAATGACAGTAAGGAGAACATTCAGTATAAAAAACTAATGCATACTTTCAAAAAACAAAACAGTTTTCTTTTCCTGCTATATTCAGGGAGATTCAAGGAATTTTTTGGTCACTTTTGTGCTACATGTCTGGCTAAGTTTTAGAGGATTTGTTTCACACAAAAATAGAACATTCAAAGGCTTCAGGAACCAATTCTAATGCTATGTTCACACTATCACGATTCGCGCCACGATTGAAATCGTGGTCTAAACGTGGTGATCCTATCAAATCTTGAGGTTAGTAATGGTAATTGTGTTGATTGTAGAATTTTTTTTTGTGGTTTCAAAAAATTTCTATGATCAACACGATTACTTGTCAATCGTGATCATTGCATCAGATCATATTGCATCGTAACAAAGCGCAACATATTGCATCTAATCGTGGTTCCAAATCATGGTGATCGGAATCAATCGTAGACAAGACAAACACTACGGTCTGTTGAGATGTGTTGCGATCTCTTACGATCTGTGACGCTCTGTCTGGTCCCATTGCTCACGACCTGACATGAATGACTCACGAGCAGATACGAGTTGATTTGAGTATATGCGAGCATTGATGCTTTTTCATGCTCACGATCTATTACGAGTTACTGCCGCCTCCACTATATCCTTCACAGTGTTGGGCTTCTGCTCTTGAGTCCTGAGGAGACACCTGAATCTATTGGCCAGGATCTCAAAGCCATTTTCCACCACTCTCCTCCCCTGGAGAGTCTGCAGTTGAAAATCCTCTCCTTCTGGACATCCTTCTTCTGCTGTATGGCTTCATGAGGTAGTTCCTGAGTGCAAAGGAGTCATCCCTCAGGATGAAGAAGGGCATGTCTTGGTGGTCATCAGGGTTTGTAGTCAGAGGGCAGGGTGGGTGGAGTCGTAGGTCTTCCTCTTCCAGGCCGTTGAACAGCTCCGAGTCTGACATGTGTCCTTTTCCATCAAGCTCGATCCACACAATCTTGTTATCTGCATCCACCAGAGCTGGGAGTGGTATCAAAAAGAAGCCCTTATAATTGAAGTACAGGCTGCCAGTTTGGGGTCATTTCTTGATGGTAATGTGTTTGCCATCGAAGAGCTGTGGTCTTAACCTTGTGTAGTTTTGGAACGCTACTGGGTCCTCCAGCCTCAAATGGGTGTGTAGGAGGCAGGAAAACTGACCAAACTGTTGTCTCCTCTCCTCTTTGAGCCATGGTCGCACCCAGAAGTGCCAGACTGCAACTCTCCTGGCCCTTTGTGGTTGGAGCTGTAGCTGGTCTGGCTGGTGCTCGTCTTCTTCCTCTCTGGCGATAATGTAAGCATACAGTAATACTGCAAATGTCACGTTGTCATCATCCTCAACTCCTGCCATCATCAATGGTTGTGGGTTGTAGTGTTCACTCTGTTGAAGTTCAAGAAACAATGAAGTCCATGGTCAGTCGGGCTGTATATATACCCGTCGGGGTCCAATCGTAGCTCAAATCGTGATCATCCTCGATCGTGATCTTGAAAGACATCGCGACCACAATCATATCCTATCGCAACAGAGCGCATCGGTTCGTGATGAATGTATCGGTACGTACCTGCACATACCAGATCGTCCCAAATCGGTGACCCTGATCATGGTGATCGTGTCAGATCGTGACCCAACCGTGGACTCGATCGGGACAATCCTATCAGAACGTATATGATCGTATCTGAACGGGAGCCGAGATCGTGACAGATCGTGTCACCTTAAATTAACCAATCGTGACAATATCGCATCCAAGCACAACAAATCAACTTGCATCACCTCGTATCCAAACCTGAAATTTCAGAGAAGTTCCACGATCAGCTACGAATGGCCAATTGTGGCGTTTGTAACGGATCGCACGACAGTGTGAACCTAGCATAACCCAGAAACCTAATGAGGATACTCACCTCCATGCTGATCAATGCATCTGTCGGAGGCGATGAGTGCTCTTCCCCTTGTACAGATGATCGTGATGAGTTGATACTGGCAATGTTGGACTGCAACTGAAACACCAGAGCAGAGCTAATTAGGGGATTGACATATGTTTTCAGTCATATACATGTTTTTAAGCATGTACCAAAGTTGTCACACACACACACACAAGAAGACTTCTGAATGCTTTTAGAGTTGAACCTACTTGAGTGTACATTTTCTTCAGCGACGTCAGCGTAATGGTGTTGTTTTCCACCCTGCCCAACAACGCGGATAGAACAGCCATGTCACCTGATGATGAGGAACCCATAGGCGCTCCATTAAGCAGCTAGGAATAGAGAAATATCAACACTGTTACATTCAAACATTTGTTTCACAAACGACTGAGTGGGTTGGGTTTAAAGCCACCTTCAACAGTATTCCAGTTATATCACAGCGTGTCAGCATAATGAGGGAGAAAAGTCATCTGTGACGCAGATCGGAGACCTTTACTACAGTGATGAAACACACAAGCACAGATAATGGTGCTGGGGACAGATGATTCAAACCAGCAATCATGGGGGTTCTGATGTGCCCAAGGGAGACAACTCTGCACAGTGAGTTGCAGAGAAAACTAGAAATTGTTCTGAAAAGAACAAGTTGAAACAGCTGATAACTTTCCTTTTCCTTTCATCTATAAGTCTAGGGTTTCTGACATGATCAACACATAGGTCAGTGAAGTACACCAGAAGTAAATGAAGTGGCTGAAATTCTGCCTGGTCAAAAATTTGCTCATGTTAATAATTCCTGAAAACCTTTAAAATCAGTCCTTTTGACAATTGACACATTAAATATGATGAATTACTACATCAACAGTTTACAACAACTAACCTGGAGATATATTACAAATCAGGTTCTCTGATTGTTGAGGTGTGACAATATCTCACTAAATTCACTGTAAATGTAATACCACCACAAGTAAACAACCTACCAGACTTTTAAGTGCATTCACTGCTTCAGTCTTGCTGTCAGTTGCTGCTGGTGCTGCTGGGCTGGGCTGCTGATGACTAGTGAAATTCTCCAGCAAACTCAGTCTTGTCTACAACATACACACACACACACACAATAGTGAGACTGCGGGCCTGTGTCAAACCTATGTCCAGCCTGCATCAAGACTGTATCAGACCAATATCAAGCATATGTCAAGCCTGCATCAAGACTGTGTCAAACCTATGCCCAGCCTGCATCAAGACTGTATCAGACCAATGTCAAGCATATGTCAAGCCTGCATCAAGACAGTGTCAAACCTAGGCCTAACCTACATCAAGACTGTATCAGACCAATATCAAGCATATGAAAAGCCTGCATCAAGACTGTGTCAAACCTATCTACAGCCTGCATCAAGACTGTATCAGACCAATGTCAAGCATACGTCAAGACTGCATCAAGACAGTGTCAAACCTAGGCCTAACCCACATCAAGACTGTATCAGACCAATGTCAAACCTATGCCCAGCCTGCATCAAGACTGTGTCAGAACAATATCAAGCATATGTCAAGCCTGCATGAAGACTGTGTCAAACCTATGCCCAGCCTGCATCAAGACTGTATCAACCCAATGTCAAGCATATGTCAAGCCTGCATCAAGACTGTGTCAAACCTATGCCCAGACTGCATCAAGACTGTATCAGCCCAATGTCAAGCATATGTCAAGCCTGCATCAAGACTGTGTCACCCCTAGGCCTAGCCTACATCAAGACTGTATCAGGCCAATGTCAAGCATATGTCAAGCCTATATCAAGACTGTGTCAAACCTATGCCCAGACTGCATCAAGACTGTATCAGACCAATGTCAAGCCTGCATCAAGACTGTGTCAAACCTATGCCCAGCCTGCATCAAGACTGTATCAGACCAATGTCAAGCATATGTCAAGCCTACAACAAGAATGTGTCAAACCGATGTCAAGCATATGTGTAGCCTACAGCAAGACTGTGTCAAACCTATGTCAAGCCTTATGAGATCTATTTCAAGCCTGCATCAAGACTGTGTCAAACCTAAGTCAAAAGTGCATCAAGACTGTCAAGCCTGCATCAAGACTGCCTGTAGAGTCAAACCTGTGTCAGGCCTATGTCAAGCCTGCATGAAACCTATATCAAGCCTGTGGAAAACCTATGTCAAACCTGCATCAACCTATGATGCTTATGTTAAGGCTTAACGACAAGCTCAACACAGACACCTTTCATTATTTTTTTGAACTTCACATTAATGTTTCAGGTAAATGTTTCTGTTAGCAGCTTGGGCCACAAACCAGATACATCTTCTATGATCAATACCCTGTAACTTTTTCACTATTCATTATGACAGCCCTGTTTTGAGCCCAATTCGAACAAAAACAACAACTTAAAATGGTCGTCCATTCTATTTGCCAGATCTTGACACAGAAAGCTACTGAATCATTCCAAAAAACAGGGCTAAATCTAAGAATGACACAGTTCAAGTCGGATGAAATAACAAACAAGTTCATATAGTATGGCAAACCTTGTACAGGAGTAAGAAAGGCTAAACATATCTCTCTGTCTCATTAGTTGATGGTCCAAACATATATATTTCCTGAAAGACTGTTTTACTTACCTCGTGTGTTAAAAGGCTGCTGTTCACTGCTTCAATCTTAGCCACAAGGCTGAGGTTCAGTTTTTTTATGTCCTCTTTAAGCTCAGTCAACATCTACAACAAATTTATTAGGGCCGTGAATTGAAATAATATGTGTTTTACATATCAAAATACAGGAATCTGTATACTAAGACATTTTTACATTAATCAATGCTAGACCTTGAATTATATGTATATGGACAGTGGTTTGAAATAAATCATGGTGGATTAACTATGCATACATAATAATCAAACTTGAACAGTCCTATGACCAGCAGCTGGGAAGCATCTACGCAATGTTTAACACCACCATACAGTGATGGACATTAGGGCTGCAACGATTCACCCAGATCTCAATTTGATATTGGATCCTTGATTTGATCAGTTTCAATTCGATTCTTCTTACAAGTAAAAACATCAGATTTTTCATTTAACTCTCAGAGTCGACTTCAGCTTGAAATCCATCATCAACTTGGCGATGTCTACTAACAACAATTCTCATTGGATAATTAGCCTGACGTCAGCCAATCAAGTTTCACCTTCTTTCAGCACTCGAAACTGGGCGATGCCAGAGTCTCTAATCTCTTGAGTTGGAGTCAAAATTACGTTCTTGCTGTGTGGTAATAATTTAAATAGGTATTCAAATATTGAATCGAAATAGTGATAATGGTTCGATTTTCAATCAATTGAACAAAATTGTAGCAGCCCTAATGGACATATGCACCCAGTGATGTGCTCAGCTAAAGCAGTGCAATGACCAGGAAGTGACCACCTCACATCACCTCCCAAGTTGAAATGACTGTACCTGTAGAGTTCCAGCTTCAGACAGATTACTCCCTTCACTTCCCTTCTCTCTTCCAGGCTGAACATCAGGGCTGTTGAGGGAACTGCCTGGCTTACTCTGAATCAATCACAAACCATCTTCATTATTTTAACAACAGGTGAATTAATTGTGTATCATCTTCTCTCCATTACCTTAACAACAATAGAGTGAGTGAATGAGTTCAGCTTTATGCCGCTTTTAGCAATATTCCAGCATTATCACGGCGGGTTATACCGGAAATGGGCTTCACAAATTGTGCCCATGTGGGGAATCGAACCCTTCATTGTGATGAGTGAACTCTTTAACCACTAGGCTAGCCCACCACTCCTAACAACAATAGATGAATGAATTCTACATTCTGACCATATTACAATGTACATTAAATACAAACTTTCTGAAACTTTCTGTAATTTACAGCTGTAAAAATGCTTGTCTTTTATTCTTTTGCAGATGGACAATGCCCTTTAAAATTTCTGAATTCCAGAATTGTCATTCATACTGTGCATGAATTGAACTTACATGTTCATTTTCTGCATTTGTCCAGTAGACTTGTGCAAAACTACACATATCTTTCTACATATAATACCCACTGGCATGAGTATTTTTGTTAGAAAAATATCCCTTTCTAAGTGTGGCATGAACTTAAACTATTAACAAATGGACGATCAGTTCAAGAGCCTCATGAGATGAGTGAGTTTAGTTTTACCGCTGTTAGCAATATTCCAGCCATATCACAGCGGTAGACATAAGATGTGACTACTGAATGGGTCAAGACAACTTTACCTCCATAGTTGTCACTCTCTCTGTCAGATCTTTCAGCTGTTGCTCGGCCGACTTCTGAAAATCGGTGAGAGTACTAAGGTCCTTCTTAGCTACCTGGATGTCACTTCCCATACTGGCAACACTCTGAAACACACAAGGAAACACAGCACCGATCACTCATGGGACAAATCAGGACAAAATCAAAACGCACTGATTCCAAGATGTCCAGTATAAATAAAAAAAAACAAACCAGTATCCAAAATGTGAATTTAAGTGCAATGTGGACGAGTCAACAATATTCTACCTCTAATATCGATCTTACTATTAATGTCAACATTTGAACAGCAGCTTCTGATACACATTTGATTTAAGGACTTCAAGTTTCTGAAAGTATATTTACATCTTCCTACTTAGACTGGGCACTACCCTGGGAGTTGGCCTCATCCATAACAGGACTCAGCAATATAATATCAATGGCAAAAACTTAACTTGGATTACATTGAAACTGTTATGGCCTAAAATACAAAGTGATGATGTTTGTTTTTGTTTTGTTTAACGCTGCACTGAGGAATATTCCTGTTATATGGCAGCAGTCTGTAAATAATCAATAGAAATTGAAATAATCAATCAACAGCATGACCATCAATCTAAGCAATTGGTATACAATGACATGTTCCAACCAAGTCAGCGATCCTGACCACCCAATCCTGTTAGTCGCCTCTTATGACAAGCATGAGTATCTGAACACGAATTCTAACCTGGATCTTCATGAGTGTCAAATGATGACTACAAACCGCAACATCTGAACAAGACCATGAACGTACTGGTACTCAGTTCAAGGTACATGGATCACAGGCAAATGGTGAACAAGGCAAAGACTGTCAAAACTTGTAAACTTACACTTGTGAGTGTATCAAACTTTGTTGGCAGGTCTTTCAGCTCTGGAGCAGCTTTGAGGCTCTCCATCAGCCCATCTGTTGTCAGACTCAAACTGGACAGCTAGAAACAACATGAACAAGGGACATTACTCTCAAAGATTCTATCTTTTATTACAAAGAGATGGGAAAAGTCAGACTATTCCATCTTCTACATAACAACTCGTTGACTGCCTGAACTGTGGAAACACTAGGCAGCAACACCAACCGCTAACAAGAATTAATAAGCATCCAGGGTTTTAGCTTGACCCTGAATTACAGGAAGAGTGAGAGTAATGAAGTTTAGGGCACCCTAGAGTAAGATTCAGCAATTACTTTAATTACAGGAACTGTGAAGAATTTGGTACAAACAACATTATTGTGCATCTCCAGAGATGCAATAAAAAAATGTTCTGTGTCCATTCCATACATTTGCTGGTACTTGATACACATTTCTGTTAGGATCAGTTAAATCATTTTATTTTACCTACAAAAAAAACACCCCCAAAATAAACAGAAAAACCAATGGAAGCTGGAGGAAACCAAATAACTCTTGACTAATGAACTGGTACAGGGTTTGAAAATAGAGCTGAACGAAAAGAAAATGAAATACATTGAACAATCAACTATTGAAAAGTAGCTCCAGCACTCCCTTTCAGATCTACAAATAACTCAATACTGTAACCATGACAACCTAGGCATCCCGGTAATGACAAGCAATTGGCTAATATACAGTATATCACAATACTGGTTAATCTCTGTATTGATCATGCTAGTTGTATTCAATCATACAAGGCCACTGATTTAAGTGTCGGAATTCGGAATAGAGGGATGTCAGATTAGAGTGAGTTTCCTATATGATATTATATAGGGACAAATTCGCGACCAAATAAATATGTCGGTTTACAGGGAATGTCGGTTTAGAGGGAGTTCACCGTACATGTATTCAACATGTTCTTTTTATCAAAGTAAAGAGTCCAGTAAGAACCTCCATAAAGAATCCCTCGTTAGCTCCATGGCAGTTTACCTGAGTTGATATAGTTGTGAGATTTTTTGTGATCTTGCCGATCCCCCGGGGACCTGTTTGCATGTCCTGCACAGTCCTGTTGATGGACTGGATCTGACTGTGGTACTTCTGAAACTCTTCTGGAGCACCTTGGTTACGGGACTCCACTGAACATAGCACAGACACAGCTACATTTGGCATGTAAACATCAACATGACACATGAACTTTGGTTAACTTTGAATCATTTAACAACTTACTGAGAAGATGTGATCTGCCATGTGAACGTCAATTATATTATTATATAATTCATCATATGAAATAAAAGCTCATGTACATTTGGACATGTCAGGAAAATGATTTGGAGTTCATAACAACAAATCTGGTTAATATTCAAATGACTTTCCAGTGTCAAAGAGACTGAGTGAGTGAGTGAGTGAGTTTAGTTTTACGCCGGTTTTAGCAATATTCCTGCAATATCACAGCAGGGGGACACCAGAAATGGGTTTCACACATTGTACCCAAGTGGGGAATTGAACCCGGGTCTTCGATGTGACGAGCAAACGTTTTAACCACTAGGTTACCCCACTGCCCTTGTGTGGGTGAGTGAGTATTGTCTCATGTCATTTTAAACATGCTTTTGTGCTCCATAGTGTCTGTGTGTGCTTATGTAATGCAGCTTGAGATAACACTAGACTATATATGCACTCAGTACCAGTTTGTAATGACCTAACAAGCTATATGGACTGATTCTATACAAGGCAACATAAGGTACTACAACAAGTGTACTATGTACCACAACTATAACAGTATTATGATCAAGAAGCTACAAGCATGAATACCTTTACCAAGTTTAATTTCAAGGGTCATACTTTGTTGATACAATAAAACCTACTAGATATGTTTGTTTGTTGTCCAACAATGCAAAGAATAAGCATTACTCCAGTTATATGACAGCAATATGTAAATAACCATGTCTGATAATAATAATAATGAAAATTTAGATAGCGTTAAAACCAACCACTAATTGGGTTGGACTGACTTTCCAGTGATTGACACCATAAGCATCGATCTTCGTAATCGGTCAACACAGATACAAGCCTGACCACTAGTGGTGGTCCGATTAATTGAAACAATCGAAGATTGGTCGCAATGACAAAACGACCAAGCAATCGATCATGTTTTCTCATAATCGAACACAATCAATTTTGGAACACTTGTTTGCAATAACAATATTTTTCACAAGGTTGGTTTTGTCTGTTAGATTTCATTAGCACTACAAGCTCTTCCAATTCATGATTGAATTTATTTTAAAGACTCCATGAAATTAATGTTCCTAACATGCTAGACATCCTTTAAAGATGTGAAATTTGCAAATGCATTTTGTGCAATTTGCAAAGAAAACGAAAGAACTACATGTTTTTTTCTTTACCTTTTGTGCATTAACAAACATAACCAGGAAAATTTGATAAATGACGCTAACCAATTATTTTTGACGATTGATCGGTTGTAAAGAACCAATCATCAATTATAAGATTGAAACCAATTCCCAACACTACTGACCACCTGTTCCAGTTAGTCATCTCTTATAACAAGCAATGCTGCTGCCTACCACAAGCATCAGTTGCTGAAGACCAATTTCTAACATGGATCTTAACATGTTAAGTAGACATGCGACAGGTGTCTACATCATGTACATAGTCCAGCGATCATGGTAATAAAAGCTACTGATGTTCTTGTAACAAAATCCATAATGATACTTGACATGGACACAGGCAATTGAACTACATGGATCTAGAATGGGTTGCACAGATCTATGATAATATTAAATTGTAATTGCTTGACTAGAGGCAATTTCTGAACTTGCCCAATAGGGCAGTACAAATTATCAACATTATAATACCCTATGGCTATAGCTTTTCAATAATATGGCTATGATTTATAATTATAAGACACGCTTGCCCAATAGGGCAGTACAAATTATCAACATTATAATATACCCTATGGCTGTAGCTTTTCAATAATATGTCAAATGGCTATGATTTATAATTATAAGACACGCTTAATGAACCATCTCTCTCAAGAACCTTGAACATGTCAAAGGCAAGTGGGTTGGGATTAGAGACTTGAGTTTCATTTACCTGCAATAAGTCTCTCTCTTAGATTGTCAAGGTCTCTCTTAAGTTCAAAATGCATCCATATTAACCCCCCGCAGGCTATAAGGCAGGTTGTCATGACAACAAACACTAGCAAGGCTACACAGGAAGAGCATGGACAAAATCCAATCCATCTACAAGATGAAAAGAAGAATATGAATCATTTTTAATAAATCAATTCAGATAGTATTTACGATCTGGAAAAATTAAAAACTAACCATGAACATCTCTCAATAGGCATATTTTTTAAATATCAACTTGCTCAAAAGATTTAACTTTGGTTTGCCAAATGTTACGATGACACTCGACCATAACCATGTTGACCTTTCTCACTGGCCAGAATATTAATAATCTAGTTAATTTTTCCAAAACAAATACACCATGATTTACACATGCCAACAAAACAAGTCATAATTCATTTTGACAAGACTATATAATATATATCAACATGACTATCTTGTTTGAATTGCAATTGCTACCATTTTACCAAGAGCTTCTAGGCACGGAATGTATAAAGAGTTTTCAAAGAGGGCCTTCAAAAGAATTAGTCTCCTTCCTCCCCGGAAAAACATTGGCCATACAATATACACTAAACAGTGCTGAAAGGGACAGTATGTTGACAATTCTGTGTTTTCAAATCATGCATGAAATAAATGTCTGTGATGTCATAGCTTTAGTTTATGCCTGATTGAAATCGTAAACAAAACAATGGAGCCACACACAGTGCAACTGACTCAATGTAAACTGGCTTCAGGCAGGTTTATGTTTATTAGAGTTAAACTAAGAGAGAAATGTTCAACAGTGAGAAAATATCTTAGAGCTTGAAAAATTATAATTTCCATTTGCAGATATATCTTTCAAGTCCTGCCATGTAGGTCTTACAGAGAGCTTCTGATGTGATAAGCTATAGTGCCAAGAAGTTGCAGCTGTAGTAGTATATCTATGTATATATGCAAGACTATGTATAATACCACTACACCATACTACTATGAATACAGCAAAAGGCTTGCCTTAGGTCCCTGTCTTGTTATCATGGTTGTTGTACATTTTATTTCCAAACAAGAGAGTCTGGTTATGTGACATGTCTGTGGTTTGGTCTCTTCAGCAGAAAATTCTCTCATGGTGTAAGGTGAGCAAAGTCGTATAAGCTGGAGATGTAATGCTGTTATTACTGCTAGAATTCCAGAATGGTCAACTTACTGTCCCTTAACATTTGTTCAATGCATCAAACTTAGAGACCTGCTGAAATTGTTGCTATGAATGGTCAGGCCAAGTGTTAAACTCACAACATGTTTATATACATTCAACAGTAGATCTTGTTTTGGGGTTTTCATGTTTACACATCAAGACGTAATAACATGATGAACAATTTACCTTAAAAAAACCTGAATATACTTGTTTTTTCTAGATATGACATAGAATCGACAGCATGTGGATTCTGCGATATAATGTTAAGTATTCAGAAAATCAATAACTCTCTTTTAATGAGCCAACCTCAGGAAAGAATCATGAATTAGGCTGAACGACAAGGCATGAATTATTCATTACTCATGACATATGTATGACGAAAACAATATCTCACTTTTTCCCATTCTGTTTGCCATTAGGGACGGAAAATTCTTCGACCTCTGATGAGTCGGAATCGTTAGAACGAAGTAATTCGTGTCCGCTTTTGCTTTTTCTTCTCGGTAATTTCCCGTTTGTGACAAGCGCATCGAGTTCTCGTCGTTTCTTCATCTTTTTGGACGGCTTAAAATCTACATTAATTCTACTTGAGGGCTCCAGCTTGTCAGACTGTCGACAACGAACACAACAACCTGACGGGTCAAGAAGACATGGAGGAATTTTTGACATCAGTGCCAGATCGATAGGTAGCGATGTCGTCGACTTTTCATGTCGGACTATCATCCGGAAGTGGAGCAGTAAATGTCAGGAAGGGAGAGAATGAGTCGTTGCACGCCATTGGCTAAAATTACACAGCGCTGCCCGTGTGATTTTATGGACGTTTTGACAACAATGGTAACTCTCTCGCAGCACAAGAAGTGAGGCTGACATAAATATTGTTTATCGTAACAGACGACTACATGGATTGGGTTGTCATGCTCCGTCTCTTGGTTGAATCTATGTCATCGTACCCCAATTCAAGGTTTTGTTGCTGATTGTTGCTGATGGAGGTGACGTGATCGAGCCCACCTGTGTGAAAACCTTGGAGTCAACTTTGTGTGCAGACTCTTTCACACCCCTAGTGTACAGTACACAACCCTGTGCACTTAAAAGGACCCACGAATCCGTTGGTATAAGGCCAGATGGTGGCCACATGTATACGTGCAAACACCTAGTTGCGGGTACAGAAACGTGCAGTAAACTTGGACAAAGTACTTTAACTATGTGTCCCAGTCTACCCAGCTGTGAATGGGTACCTCATAAGGGTGGGAAAGCCGCAATAACTCGGTGCGCCTCGTGGCTGCAAGAGTTGTATGCTCCCCAGGGAGTTGAGATTGATAATAGATGTGCCGTTAAGATTGGCATCCAAGGGACAAAAATACCAGCGCCTTGAGCATGTACTAGTTGCGTGGATGTGTGCGCTATATAAATATCTTATATTAATCACTGGACATTCTGGTGCTGAATCGAACAAAGTGGACTTTCGCTGAGCGCGGCCCATAGCTAAGTAAACTGGTTTTAGTTAAAATTAGTTATATCCGGTGCGGCTTTTGTTCAAAACCTTACCCTCTAGGTAATACGCTTTACGGTCATCTTATTAATTACAATTTTCTGATGTCACACAAAGTTACATATATATCACGATTTGTGGATGTTGACAGAGACCATGCCTCTGATGTTGATAAGTATCATTGACCACACACCTAACGGGCTGCCTCGTACTTATAACCGTCAATAGCGTTACGCACACTATCCAATAGTCTTCTTCACGAAAGGTGACTATTTTGTACCTTACCGAAGGCGAAGGACTGATTGGATAATACGGTACATCAGTTATTCGGTCAATGTACTTCTTTAGGTCTCGTATATAGGTCGATCAACAGCTGGTCGTCAGTACAACTAGGTGATGAGTGAGATTTGACATACTATTGATTCGATGCAATAAAAGCAGTTGCCTACAACATGAATCAATATGTATGTATTCTTCGATACAGCTGCAGAATACCATGTATATGTGGTATTTTCGTATCTCGATTTTTAAAGGCTTGGTCGATGGCGCCGGGGTATTTCTATGTCCGCGGTAGGCCACACGCTAGGACGAGCTCCAGTCTGACATGTAAATATGCGGATATGTTCACGGTCAGATACCATAATAAATCTTGCTCTCGTTACCACATGAATTCCTGATAAAAACTTAAATCCGAATGACATATGTTCAGGGATTGGGATAGACAACTTTGACAATGGGCCATTTTCAGGATTATTAGTCATTTTCTGAATTTAGAATGGGCCACTGTCCTTGTATCAATAGTAAACTTCAAAATTTTAATGGGCCATTTTTTATTCTAATGTGCAAAATGGCCCCTGCCTTTCCTAATCCCTGTATGTTCTCTGGTGAGCAGGTATTTGTTTTATTTCTGGTATTTTCTTACTTGAACCAATCTAAAAAAAATGCGAATATGTGTATGAATTCATATGCGTTTATTGAAATAAATGTATTTCAAGATATGGTGTCCGTTTTTATTTGCAGTTCGTTTTAGATATTTGGTCTTGGATACTTACCTTACTGTTCTGTTGTCAATGTTTTTTGGTTTTATGTAACTACTTTCGGGCTGAGGCGCTCAGTATTCGAACTCACTCACTCATGAAACAAGACGTACAAACGTACTGTGAAAATCCGTTCACATGGCAAATTTTCACATACATATATGTTCACAAAATTATTGAAATTTGCAAAGAAACGTGTTACTGAGAGCATGGGGTGGTTATACGACGAAGCATTGGGATGGCCTAATATACCTACCTTGTTGTATTTGTTGTAGCTGGGACTTCATCTCATACACCTGTCCCATTAGCCAATAACACACGACACCTAGCACTGCCACAGTTGCCAAGACAACGATCACGGCTATGATTTTTAACATTGTCCATAATGGACACACACTTGTGTCGCCGGATACGACCGACTTGTAGGAACCTTTCTTCCTGGAATTCGAAAATAACAGACATGATAAATAACAGACTCACTGTTTTTCATTGATGTTGATTCAAATGGCATTTTCCTCGGATGACATTTCGAATTACATACTTAAAGGACTGTGATTTTCGAGAGATGAAAATCACCCCTGACCTTACGTTTAACCTGTATTGCAATTTCACCGATCAAAAAGAATTCTTCACCGTGACACACACGACACCCCGATAGTCATGTAAATACATTAAGTTTTGCATGTAAGTACCGAATGTTTTGTCCAGCCTCCTTTTGTAAATGTAAAAAATTCTGTATATTTCAATTGATAGCCATATTCTACCCTGTATACAGTGTAAAATGATGACGAGGGGCATATAGCCCAAGTCTTCACTGAATAAAGAATCGAATCGAGTCATCATTTTTGATAGACGAAGGACACTATGAAAGTCACATTTGGAACACACGATGTAAAAAGAAAAACAGAACTATCATCATATTCAATTTCGACCAACCATTTTTTTCTTTTATTGAACACAGATACTCAGATTATGACACAGTTTTCGAAGGTGACATATATATGGCATTTTCGAAAGACGAAGGAGGGTGTAAAAGACACATTTGGAACACACAATTTTAACAAACAGAGAATTATCATATTCAACTTCCATCAACATTTTTTTGGTATTGAATATTGATAAGCAAATTATGGGAATAAATTTTCGAAGGTGTGTCGCCTATTAATGTCAGATTAAATTTTCCAAACACCGTGGAAAATCAGATGAATAATATTTTACCACTAAGCACGCAATGATCATAAATATTGAATTTGGTAGACCACAGGATCCTATAACTAATATTCTAAAACAACAAAACTCGACATCTGCAACTTTGTCATAATTTATTAAAAAATACACACACGTACTCGGTCCTTACGGTGGAGAGAGAGATATAATCGTTTGGGAAAACCTACGTAAAATACAATATTGAATATTTTGTCACATGTTATCATAATACGCATGGCACGTTCTTATCTTCTCACAATATGATATGGACAGCCGGTTCACATGACGCTTACACACAACACTCGACAAGCACTGATTGATCTGTCAAGGGAAGCAACTCTAGTTGTTTACTTTCCGAAACTAGTATCGTACAAGGAAGTTTTTCAGGTTTAGGCTCATTATCGAATACTAGGTAAACAATACTAACAACAAACTATCAATCATTCGCAGACAAAATTTTCGAATTGGATGACGACATTAAAAATAAAATCAAACTCTTACTTTCTGGGTTTCTTGCCCTTCAAAGGAGGAAGTTTCAGATCTGGCGTATCGCTGTCGGAGTCAGAGTAGAGTAAGTTGGTATAATCCTGGCTAGAAGTTTTCAAACCTCCGTTTCTTGGTTTCATTTTGATCGTTAATGCTCTTAGACGATAAATTTATGAAGAGGACTGCGCTGTGATCACAATATATCCATACTGGTCCACGTAGGTATGTAAGACGCACGAACTCAAACTTTAGGTGATGTGACGTTTAAGGGGGTGATTAGTTCGTGAGATAGTAGTATTTGTTTACCCGTTCGCAGCGTCTTCGAAATTGCACCATTCATACCGATTTTTAATGAGAGAGATGTATGATGATGTATGATGATTTAGATCAAATAGTATGTGTAAATACAAGTCTTATAATATCTGCATTGATATTCGTTTGTTTTGTGAAAACGATTTCTCCCCTGAGGTAAATTCCCATAAGGCTCCCATCTGTTATGTATTGAGCCAAAGTTCGCATGTGATTTTATTTTTATGGTTGCCTGTGAAGTTCATTGAGGCATTGTTTGGTTTTATTCTGAAACTCATACCCACCTTAATAGCGAGTTAAGAAGACAATAAACTGAATATTCATGACATCGCAAGTTTAGGAGTCAATTAAAGGTGTTTAGTTGACTCATGAACACAATTACTCTGTCTCACAGTCCCTGAACCACACTACATGTATTTTCCCTACTACCTTGCCCTCTCTGCAATGCTAAAACCGTAAATGAAAAACAATCTCTCATCTCACTGGGGCTCCTTTTCAATTTAAATGGGTTTATTTGTTTCTCTCCAAATCGTATATAGTCAGAGCCTAAGCGTTAATCTATTACACAATGAAAACGCAATAGTTCTCTTCGGACAGAACGTTCGCGTCTTCATTACACCTTTTCAATTAATTGCTTACGATAGCAATGTGGGTTTTGAAAACGATTTGTAGTTTCATGAAAGATAGAACAAATCTTTAACAAAACGCTAACGATGTTTGATTTTATTACCATATCATCCACAAACACGACTGGCAGTGGGGTAGCCTAGTGGTTAAAGCGTTCGCTAGTCACGCCGAAAACCCGGGTTCGATTCCCCACATGGGTACAATGTGTGAAGCCCATTTCTTGTGTCCCCCGCCGTGATATTGCTGGAATATTGCTAAAAGCGGCGTAAAACCCAAACTCACTCACTCACTCCACAATCACAAGCTATTACCAGGCATAGGAGAAAAGCATGTCCCACGCTTACGTCCCATGCAATCGAGGACTTTTCCCAAGGTACAAGTATAAAAAAAAAAAGATTTATTTAAAATCTAAACATGTGCATATGGAATACATTTATTCTAATTTCGGTCTCTCAGTAACTTCTCTAAATGTTTGTATATATTGGACTTGGTTGAATAGTCTTACCAAGTGGATATCTGATGTTGAAACAGTCTGTTTGAAAATTTGGGGTCTGACTGTTGGTGATCCTTAT